ATTTAGTTGATGTAATATTTTATTTAATGTTTTTAGCAAAATTAGGTTATCAGCCGGGCCAACATTTCGTGTCACCAAGCTGTCACTATAATTCCAGCTTGTTTAGAGTTTCTGTTCCCACTTCCTAACTAGTGCAGGTTATATGTCAGCAACCAGTAACGTACATGGTATTCAACAAAGGGCTCGAGATGATACTGATCAGAGAAATCGAAGTCCTAAAGATCCCATCGTCGAAGTGATTACTCCTGATGTATACAATAACTATGGTGCAGATGGTTCGAGGGAACCTTTTCCTGGGATCTGGTCTCGGACATTGAGAATAAGAATTACTGGACGAGATGGATTTGAGAAGCTCGATGTTAGAATACCTGTAAGTTACGTTACCAGTTCAGATATATAAAATACATATCTCTGATGTCATCCGTATTTGTGTCTATCCAAACTAACATAGAAAGTGAAAAGAAAAAGAACTGAAGCACTGTTGTGGTTTCTTTATCAAACTGCAGATGATGTCTTAAATATTTCTGTTATGTTCAATAATAAAAATAAAGCAGTAGTTGCGAATATTTTCATTAGGATCCTGACCCGTGGTAATGACATGATAGCCTACTGATGTCAAGAGATGCATGAACAGTTTATGTGGGAGTTGGTTACTTCAGTGATGCGAGATTACCTACTCCTTAAAGGTAGTTTTTTATGTCCTCTGGAAGAAGTAAAACAGCATGCAGTATCTTCAGACTTAAGTGTTCTGTACTTATTTACTCGAGAATTATCATTTTCCCTCTTACCGAGCATAAATCTTTTCATTCAGAATTGATCAAGATGGGATTGGAGGAGATTTCTGCAACCTTTCTTTTTGGATTTTCAGTATTTAGTCCTTTTACCAGATCCAGATCACAGTGTATCAGTTTTTGTCTACTATAGGAATTTATTTGATGACCGAAAATTACTGAAAATTTATTTTCCTTTTTATAGTGCAATTAACTAAAATCATATTCTGTTTCATCTTTCCTGGTGTTTCCTGCATTGCGTTTTGGTCCCTGACTTTTTCTCAGCTTTTGTTTTGATATTATTTTTTCTTTGCTTAGCTGGATGTATATATATTCATATATTTCATTTCTAGTTGTGCAAATTACAAGTGTATATTCCAATAAGTCATTTTCATGTACTGCACAAAAATTGTGTAGCCCAAATTCTTTTCTTTTTTTGGTCAAAACATCGTCCATATACAAGAGTTGAAGATCATCGTTCAGGTATCATTTTTAAGTAATCCAGTCTTCATCCAGGATTATTTTTAGGCTAGTCTCCTGCTGGTATGTTAAACTTCTAAATAAAAGATTTTGATAGACCCGAATATGTTTTATGAAAATGTAACTAGAATCCTTTTTATTGTATCTTTTTCCCTAAA